CTGTGGATTTGAGGGGTTTAGAGGGATGGCTGAGGGCACGCAGTGCGTGGGGTAGGCTGGGGGCATGCGTGGAAGAAAGAGGGGAAGAAGATGAACTGTGTTGATCTGTTTTGGGCCGTTGGATGAAGATGTGACGGTCCTGATGAAAAATGACCGATGCGGAACTTTTATTTTAGGTGCCGGACTAATATATTCTCCTATTTTTCAAATGCTTGACAAAACAAACAAATGAAACAAAACACTTGACAAAACAAACAAACGAAACAAAATGCTAAATCTACTGTTGTGTGAAAGTTTGCTTAACATAGTTGTAGAAAATGTGCAACCTGGGAAAGCTGCAAATTTTTGTGCCTAAAGTTGTGTGTAATCCGATAGTGTAGTGCCTAAACCACACAAGTGATGGGCTGTAAACGGCCCCGTCACTGGTTCCTTTGGGCCGTCCGTCCGGGCGGGCTGTACAACGGGTGACTGGAAACTGCCTATCAGTGGGTGATACTCCATCCGTCCGAATAAGCTTGTGTCAAGCTTATTCTTCAAATGAATGTATCTAGCACTAACTTAGTACTAGATGGATGAGGGACAAGCTTTTTCGGACAGAGAAAACAGATGTCAACGATATTTCAGGCGACCAAACATTTCAACAAATCTAGTGTTTTGGCAGCAATTCATATCTAGGGTTTCAAATTTTGAAAACATTCAACATCCATATATTTGGAACATCACATCTGGAATATGAAATGCACAAAGGATGTATATATGTACTCTGTATTTCGGTAATAAATAACAAGTTGCAAGACTATAGCACAAAGCTTAGAAAACACAAGTGCACACGCTGAACGCCTCGATGGTTTGGTCGGCCATTGTGAGGCTCAGAGTTCCTCTGAACTAGTACGAACTACTCCCTCCGTCCCATAATATAAGACGTTTTTACAATTCAATTTGACTGTAAAAAGGTCTTATATTATAAAACAAAGGTAGTAATTCGCAATAAAAAGGGTACGAACTGGAAATGGTGTTTTCGACTAGAAAGTACAATTTCTTTAACACATAGTACTCCCTCCGTAAACTAATATAAGAATGTTTAGATCATTAAAATAGTGATCTAAACGCTTTTATATTAGTTTACAGAGGGAGTAATTTCTAGTGTTCTAAGCCACTTACAGGGGCACATAAGGGAGAGATGGAGCTACCTGCCCCGAATCCATGGCCTTATAACCATTACAGATTAAAAGACAAGCGAAAAAAGCATAAATTAAACAGTGCACTTTGTCGGAATTCAAACAGCGTTACAGCGGCCCATGAGCTAGTGAGGAGCGCTCGCTCTGAAATCGACGTCAAATACATCATCTGTACCAAGCAGTGTAGACGGTTGGATGCAAGATCGACGGCTGAGCTTGATTACAACAAGGCCAAACAATATCCTGTCAGTTGAAGAAATCGACACGTGCAGGAACTGAAGTTCAGAGATCCTGACAGGCAGCAACACCCCTGGGAACTGATTCTGATCTGTAACGGGCCCCTAATTCTGCTCAGGTGGTACACTGCGTCTGCATGCAGATGTGTTGATTGCTGCTAGCTAAGTAGCTATTGGTTTCGACTGAGGACTGAACCTCTTCTCCTTTGATGCAACACACCATGGAATGGAGAGCACCTCAAAAGCGCATCAATCTTTGGCCGGTAGCGTCGAGGACGACTTTGAGCTGCTGAGCTGCACTAATTATCCTTCATCTCCAAAGATGGCCAATACGGGCCATTGTATACTGTACCCCCACAGGAAAGAGCACCTCAAAAGCGCATCAATTCTGAGATGTGAAGCAACGAGGACAACATAATCAGTAAAACAATGGACTGTTACATGTTTATCCATAGCATATCTGCAGGAAAGAATTACCCCAGCCCATTTGACAGCAATCAGTGCATCAGATTTGCGACCCTCTGATTCAAAGATTCCTTTGAAATGATCTTACCTAAAATGAAGAAAGAATGGATCATAACGTATATTCATAGTCTGTCAAATAAGTAAACTGATAAGTAATACCAATTTGGGCGAGTAGTAACCAACACCCTTTTGGGTGAGGAACATGCAATTTTTAAAAACATCATTTCTCCTTGTAGATAAGAAGACCAATAGACCTCTATGGTAGCTTGAGAATTAAGGGGCAGTGAAATGGAATTTTGGTGCATAGTTAAAAATGAAGACTAATCATCAGATAGAAATTGCAGGCAACAAAAAAGCTGAAAGAGTGGCATTTCTTTTTTTTTTCCTGATCCAATTGCAGGCAACACATGAAACTGAAAGAGTGAAGTGCACTGTAGGTCCCTAAACTATTCGAGGGGTGTCAACCAGGTCCTCGAACTATGAAAATCGACATGTGGGTCCTCGAACTATTGTAAGTGTCTCAGTCACGTCCAAAACCTGCCCGACCCAGTCTGACCTACCGTTGACTGTTGCCACGTCGGACAGGGGTAACGGAGGTGGATGGATATTTACAAAAAACACCCCGAATCGTTTCAGATCTCCATTCCCCAGTCCTTGCCTCTTCTTCTCCTTCTCTCCCGATCTCTCTCACGGCGATTTGGGGGCGGCGGCGCCTTGGCGATTTGGTGTGGCCGCACGGAGACGGCGGCGCCTGCCTAGGCGTCGATGGCTCCGGTACGGCGGCTCCCTGGAGATCCTCCTCCACAGTACGGTATGTTCCTCTCTGTCCCCCAATCGATTTGTGACTAGGGTTAGGATTTGATCCGAATTGGTTAGGGTTAGGTTTGTGCGCAGCTTCCTGATGCTCGATTCCCTCTCTTTGCACGTAGGACCGAACGACGACCTCTTTTCAGTAGAGATTCATCACAGTGGGTTCTTTTGTGGTGACGGCCCAAACAAGACATATGTAGATGAGCGTATTGACACATTTGATTGTTGTGAAGTGGACACATGGTCTCTGCTTTGGATAGAAGATTTTGTTAGGCAGTGTGGCTATGCAGATGTCACAAGGTTGGAAGTGTATTGGTTGCTGCCAGGGAAATCATTGTTTGGTGGTCTGCGAGTGCTCGGGTGTGATGCTGACACAAATTATATGATGTCTGTGGTCAGCAAGATCAAAACTTTTGAGCTATATGTGAATGATAAAGATCTGGAGAGATCAATCTTCAGTGATAATGACATTCCAATGACTGGAGGCCCTGAGCTGCCTAAGGTTTTTACTCCTACAAAGAGAAAGCCACTGGATATTCCACCCTTCTATGATAATGTCATCAGCCCCAAACAGAGAGCAAACTTCAGAGAAATTTTGTCAGGAGAGAGGCTGAGGCATGGAATAGTAATGCAGGGCATCAGTTCACATATGAGAGGAGAAGCAATAGGAGGAGGGCTCAGTTTGAACCAGAAGTTGAAGAGGACAGTTCTGGGGGTGAAGACAGTAGTAGTGGATCAGAGTTTGTGGGCAATAGCAAGAAGCAACAATATGGCTACATGGAAAAAGAACATGGACAAGATGAAGGAGATGAATCTAGAAGCATGGGCATATTTGGATGGCCTTTCCCCT